TCTACCAACTGAGCTATATTCCCAGTCCCTGATACAGCTTTTAAAAAAGGCAGTTTATTAACAACTATTTTCATGTAAATCACACATGCCCACAGATTTTATAAGTTTTACTATAAAGTACCCAGAAGACAAAATCTTCTATAGAAATAAACCTGTGTATAAAGATCTAAGAATAAAAATGTTCAATAACCCTTTAGTAGATAAATGGATTTAAAAAATGTGGCATAAATACACATTGGAATATTACTCAGCAATAAAAGAGAATAAAATCATGGCATTTGCAGGTAAATGGATGCAGTTGGAGAAGATAATGCTAATTGAAGTTAGCCAAACCCCCAAAAAATAAATGGCAAATGTTTTCTCTGATATAAAGTGACTGACTCATAGTGGGGTAGGGAGAGGGAGCATGGGAGGAATAGATGAACGCTAGATAGAGGGCAGAGGGGTTAGCAACGATGGTGGAATGTGATGGACATGATTATCCAAAGTACATGTATGAAGAATGAATTGGTGTGAACATACTTTATATACAAAGATATGAAAAAATTGTGTTCTATATGTGTAATAAAAATTGTGATGCATTTCGCTGTCATGTATTTAAAAAATAAAAGCAATTAAGAAAAGAAAATGAAAAAGTAAAAAAAAAAAAGAATGTTTAATAAAATATTTACTGTACGAATTGAAGAAGTGAAGGTCACCAAAAAATCTTTTAGATAGAATGTTAGTCAGCTTTTTCATTGCTGTAACCAAAAGATCTGGCCAGAAAAATTTTAAGGATGAAATTTCATTTGGGTGCTCACAGTCAGAAAGGTCTCCTCCATGTACAGCTGGCTCAATCCCTCAGGGCTTGAGGTGAGGGAGAACAGCAGGGAAGAGTGTGATGGAAGGAAGCAGCTCCCATTACGATCAAAAAACAGAAAGACTCCACTTGCCAGTGAGAAGATATACCCTAACGGCATGCCCCCAAGGCCCACCTCCTCCAGCCACACACCCCCAGCCTTCAATTACCACTCAGTTAATCCCTATCAGGGGATGGAGTCACTGAAAGCTCTCACAATCATTTAATCTCTGAATGTTCTTGCACTGTCTCACACATGAGCTTTTTTTTTATTAATTATTTTTTAATTTTTGCATTTGCAGATGGACAGCAAACATTTATTTTATTTGTTCATTTTTATGTGGTGCTGAGGATTTAACCCAGTGACTCACACGTAAAAGGCAAGCACTCTGCCACTGAGCTACAGTCCCTGCCCCTCACACATGGGCTTTTGAGGGACACCTAATACTAAAACCATGACACCATCATAACAGAAGGTGTTGCAGAAGTTTCAAAGAATAAAAGCCTTCAAAAAGTGTCAAGTCACAAAAGCAAGAATAATGTTGGGAAGTCAGGTGTGGTGGTGCACTCCTGTAATCCCAGCTACTCATGAGGATCAGGCAGGAGGATCACAAGTTTGAGGACAGCCTCAGCAACTTAGACTCCCATCTCAAAATAAAATAAAAAAGCTGGAAATGCTGGGAGTGTGTCTCAATGAAAGAGCACTGCTGAGTTCAATTCCTAGAACAACATACACATACACACACAGAGAAGTAAGTTGGGGGAAAAGATCCAGTTGTTGTTTTAAATATATTTAAAAAAATATTTAGGAAGATCACAAGGGGAAAGAGGGCAAAAGAGGAGTCTCAGTTTCTATATCCACATTTGCTGCTTGACTATCTTTTGACAAGCATGTATTCCTTTTTCATTCTTTGATTTTTTGGTTGTTTTTTGGCATGGTACCAGGGACTGAACCCAAGAGTACTCTACCACTGAGCTACACCCCTGGCCCTTTTTATTTTGAGTCAGGATCTTGCTAAGTTGCAAAGACTGGCCTCAAACTTGCCATCCTTCTGCCTTAACTTCCCAAGTTGCTGTAATTATAGGCATGTGCCATAATTGAGGAGGAGGAGGAGGAGAAGAAGAAGA